TTAACAAGCTATGACACTATGTCTGATTCCAGTTGCCTTTCAGTTTACATAGAGTGTTAGCCGTATTCTTCCTATTGTTAAGGAAGACCTTGAATTACCTAAAAAGGTTACTTGTTTTCTGTTTTAGCTTTTTGGCCGATTTCTATATTCAGTTACAGACAGTAGTGTATTTTCTTCATGTTATCTTCAGTCCTTAAGCCATGAAGACTGTAATCAGGAACTTGTTATTTCTCAGTTGTCATTTTATTCAATGAGGAGAATGTTTTTACTGTTCTGGAGAGAGGTAAAAAGATATGGTTATTTCTCCAGGGGAATTTTGTCCCAAATGTTACTCTAACCTTTTTAAAGGAATAACCTAGACATTTTTTTTTTTTTTGCGTATTTATATTTGCTGAACACTTGCTAAAATACTTCCCCTGGATGATCTCATTGAATTGTCACAACCACCCTATGAAGTAGACATTATTATTATTCCTGCTCTTTCATAAATGCGTTTAGGTCACAAAACCAGCGTGCCTGGGAGCCAGGCTGTGCAGGGCTCTGCAGGGGGCAGTGCAGGGATGACACCCCCTTCAGTTCGGAGTTATGCGGCCTGTTGTGGGCGACCTTGGCTCGTTATAGATTTAAAAATGATCATCTGTGTCTCCTTGGTTTTGTCTGAGAACAGGTTCTGTCTTTAGAAGAATGGCTGGTTAGACTTTTCATACTGACGCACCCAGGGAGGACATGATCACGGGACGCTGGCACGTATTCTCGGCACATGGTGTGGCTGAAGCCCCTTGCGTGGCGAGCCCCTTCCCTGGCACTTGGCATGTCACTCTGGCAGTGCCAGGGGAACGACGAGTGAATTCCGTAGCGCTTAATCGCCTTCCTGCTTTGGAGGGGCTCCTACCTCCAACCCCACTGCGAGGGCCTGCGTGGTGTCAGCCTCATGAAGACGGCGGAGAGGGCATGTCTTCCCTCCGGCCAGGGCCACAGGGCACCGGCTCTCAGGGGAGAATGTAGTCTCTCTAGACGAGGGGAAGGTTACCAAAAGGTAAACATGGTCTGTCTGAGGCTTTATCTTTGTAAGATTCCTTTTGCCTCCCCCCAGGTCGTGCTGGTTTTCACTGGGAGGCCACAGGGCAGGCTGTGTGTGCTTTTCGGGCTCTTTCCCGTTGCCTCCTCGGCTCACACCTGTCTTTCCTGCCCTGATCCGTCTGATTCATTCATCTGCTTCTGCTTACTGCTCTCTGTCGTCCTAGGGTGTGTTTCTCAGTCACACTGTCTCACAAGCCATGCCAGCACACTGACCATACTTCATCTGCCCCGTTAACCTCCCTGCCTCCTGGGCCAGCTCCTCAGCGCCTTTCAGAGGCCCGTTGTTCACGCCGTGGACAGATCACTTTGTATCCTGTCCTGTCATCTTCCTCCAGTTCACCCTCGGGTTATTTTGCCTTTCAGCTGTTTTAAAACATTTTCTCTCCTGCAAGACGGCAAGAGGCCTCCCGATCTGGTGATCCACAGGCTCGAAGGCTCCTGGGCTCCGGTCTCGGGAGCGCTGCATCGCTGGCTGAGTGCGCCTGGACCGGGGCCTGCCAGGACCAGGTCCGGTGCCGGTCCCCGGGGAGGAGATTAGCGTGCTCCTTCCTCAGAGTGTGCTCGCTTCCTCCTCAGGGCATGGAGCCTTTGGGGTAGCTGCCTGTGACCTTCAGTCCTCTTCTGTGTGTGTGTGTGTGTCTGTGCACACATACGTGTGTGCTTTCGGTATGTCTTCTTAAAAAAAATCTGTCTCAGATGAACTAATTCACAGATCCATAGGCTTTGTGAATAAGACCCTTACGAGGACATTGCGCATCTGTTTCCCAGGTGAGGAAACAGGCTGGGGGAGGGCCCAGATCTCTGAGGTCTGGTTTGACGTTTTCCTACCCCAGTTGACTGTTGAAATATTTTCTGATTCCAAATACGGTTGACTACGGTGTGGTCCTGGTTTCATAGGAAAATCGGAAGTGTAGCGGTTGGTGGTAACTGGTGAAGAATTTTGCAGTTTGAGCCCATGACCATCGATCAGATGCCTCCTGTGTGCTGAGGATGGGCCTGTGCTGTGTGGGCGTGCAAAAGGAGAGGCCATTATTGCTGTCCGTAAAGATTTGAGAATTGTTGAATTTAATAAAAAATTATCTATCTGCATTTAACTGAAATTTTTCTTTGTTTCCTCTGCTGTTTTTCTTTACATCTTGTGCCTCATCTCTCTTTGACAAGAATATTATAATTATCTTTTTGAAACTATTATCAGGCAGACCTATACTGACCTTTAATTATGTGCCAGGCATGGGTGAAAAGTACAGTGAGTGAATCCCAGCCCCGGGCGAGCTGCCTGTGGGCCGGGCTCTGGAGGACACCCTTTGTGGCACCGTGTGCAGCGATCCTCGCCAGGCGTCAGGCCGTGTCTGGAAACATTTGTCATTGTCACGCTGGGTGAGGTGCGGGCAGTGCCACTGGCATCCTGCTTGGTGGGGGCCAGAGGTGCCATTTGACTCCCTGCAGTGCATGGGACTGCCCGGGCAGAGATGACACACTCCCAGCGTCAGTGGTGTCATGGCGGAGAGCCGCACACGGAGTGTGATCTTGTTCTTAGTGCTCTCTGTGCCTGGCGTGCATCGCTGTTGCCCCGTTTGGTTTAGGGGTTTGGGGAGGCTGAGCTGAATCTGCACCCTGAGGACAGGAGGAAGAGTAAGGAGGGGACAGGCCTTCTGAGCATTGGGAGTGGTACTGGCAGCCACCTGGAGGTGGTCTGGGAGCCGCAGGTTAGGGACACCCGGGGCCGCAGGTTAGGGACACCCGGGGCCGCAGGTTAGGGACACCCGGGGCCACAGGTTAGGGACACCCAGGGCCCAGGTTAGGGACACCCAGGGCCCAGGTTAGGGACACCCGGGGCCTGTGTCCTAACCTGGAATTGAATCATGACCTCATGGTTCATAGGTTGACACCCAAGCTTGAGATTTTTTGAATTTATATCTGGTTTTAGTGTGTCCATAGACAATGGAGTCAGGTAATATAGAAAATTAAGTATTTTTTTCTTTGTTGCTTTTGAAAATAACTACCTTTAATAAAATTTAAAAAATGAGTTGACATTTACTTGAAAAGAGTTTACTGTTGTTTTTATTATAGATTCTGGAGCCTACGATAAGTCATCTCTTTTGATAACGTGTTTAAAAAGTGGGAACAAACTATATGACAGCGTGAAAAATCTCCACAGATGATTACCTGTAGGTTTTCTTTTAAAACAGGCCAGTCCCATCTGAGGTAACGGCTCCGCTGTTGGCAAAGTGAAGCATGTGCAGTGAGGGGTCCTGCCCAGCCCTTGAGTCTTGCTAACACGCAGCCCGGGAGGACTGGCTGGGGAGGAGGGCGGCTCGGGAGCAGCACAGGTGTGTCTGCGTGGTGCTCCGAACGAACTCACGCAGGCGCTCTGCTCCTCCTGGTGGGACCTCTCGGTGCCCTCAGCTTCCCGTTGTCTGCACTTCTTTGTGTTTGTAACGTTTACTGAAGTCCTGAAAGCGCTTCGGTTTAAGAAGGCATCTTTTGGTTCCACAGGTTATATATTACATATCAAGGTTCATCGTGTCAGAAATTAAAACACTTTAACGTGTATGTTAATTCGTTAAAAATACCGATAAGAAATTTGTTAATGCTCACATAAATAGCATTTTTATGAAAAATAACTGTAGTGCAAAAAGGTTAGTGAGCACAATGGCATGGCTGTGCATTTTTGTCACTCTCATTCATATCTGGCTTCATTGAATTCAGCTAAATTTTCAAATCTGTTTCTGCACCCAGGCAGTCGTTTGGAATATTTAGTTCTGAGTTTTTAGAGAAGGAGGTTTAGAAAAGCGAATTGTGTGTTAGCATTTCCAAGAGAAGAATTTAGCCTCCTGGGCCCCTCAAAGGGTTTCTGGGACCGCGTGGGGGTTCCCTGGAACCCCAGTTTGAGAACCACTGGGCTGAACTGTACATTTCCTGAGGGCAGAGACCATTATTGCCTTGGTCTCTTCTCTTCTCTTCCTGGGAGACTTACAAAATATTCATCTTGGTTCCTCACGTGTGCTTACTGAGTCAGCTTTCCCCTGTAAAACCGCTGGGAGCGGAGCGGCCCGGTGAATCAGGGCTGGCCTTCCTTTGCAGGTCGCCTTTCCCCTCAGCTAGTCATCGCATAAGAATTAATCTACGTCTTTGACTCAGCAGCCAGTGAGGGGCCCCGGATGCTTTTCGCTGTGTCTGATGACACAGTAGACTGGCCACAAATCGAGAGAAGATGTTTGGAAAAGAAGTATCCCCTTCCCAGTGCCATGAGTTCTAGGAAGTCTTGGAGGTTGCTGGGAGAAATAAGCAGGAATTGTTTCCTAGAAACGGAGTGGGAGAGTCCTCGCCAGAGGGTGAGGGCCTGGCTGCCCCTGCGGGCCACTGTGCTCTTCCGGTGGCACTGTCTGTGCCCTGCAGCCGCAGGCCGCCGAGAGCCAGTGGGAAGCAGCAGTCGGCTCTCCAAGCAGCAGCACTGCATTTGCCAGGTGCTGTGCCAGGGCCCTGCAAACTCACAGCAGAAACACAGACTCGGGCTGCGAATGCTCGTACTGTTGGTGCCAACTTTTCAGACTTCTGATAAAATGTAGGTAAACAATATCAAAAGGTATCTCAACAGCCATGATAAATTTTGCATAAAGCAAGTATGTGTACAACTTGCAGTGTTTACATTGGAGCAGATTTACTAGCTACGTTAGGAAAAGCCTTCATGAATAAATACAGTGGCGTAGCAGCAGCTGTTTTTGCGTTTGACTTGCAAAGAAATGGAAGCGAGAACCTTTTAAAAACAGCATGAATGTGTCTGCTTTATCTGAACGAGTGGGGGCGTTTTCTCACTGCTTGCCTCTGGGGCACGTACTATGCTGTGGTGCATTCTCACTAATAGTCTCTGAACTTCTCTCTCTGTCCTCTCCTTCCGGGCCGTGCATTGCTGCCGTTAGCGCTTCAGCATGGAAGGGATCTCACATGTCATTCAGAATGGCCTCCGCCACACGTTTGGGAATGCAGGCGGAGAGAAACAGGTGCTCGGTTTTCCTTATTTTCCTCACTCTCTGCTCTTTCGTTCTCTGTGTAAGCGAAGGTCCTGAAAGCTGGCAGTCTTACTAACTTACTAATTGAGACTGTTGCTTAAAAGAGAAAAGCAAGTTCATAATATTTATAGTCTTGAAAATATATAGACTTAACCTTTAGGAAAAAGCAGTAAAGACTAAATGCATCCTCAATGCATGTGTTAGAGCTCTGTTTTTCTCTTTCACCTCTAAACAGATATTAACAAATGCTCATAATTCATTTGCATGTGTAGAATATAAAACTGTGAAAAGTAACTATACTATGCTATTCTAAAAGTTTAAGAAACAGGATCTTATTTTTGGGAAAGAAAATCAGGAGTAGGTATCTTTGGGACTAGTGTTCTAGCTCAGAAATGTCTATAGAGTCTGTCTCACCTCTTTTTAAATGATACTCGTGTGTTTTTAAGGTATGTCACATAGTCTGCCGACTCGCTTGTTTACCAAAGGCATGGAACACTTTATACAGGTTATACATAGGCATGAGTGTAGTAACTTGCTTTTTATTAACAAACTTGTGTAATGATTTTAGAAATGTCACGAACATGGGGAACACCTACATTAGGTATGCTTAAAATTACTTATCACAATTTGAAATTTTCGCCTCAAAAAGAAAGCTCTTCCATTTAGCTCGTGAGTGCAGCAATGCAAGTGCACAGCAGGCAGCTTTGTAGGCAGTTTATCCGAAGAAGGCATCTGAGCCTAGGGTTTTACTGGAGAGAGTTCTGTATTCCTTAGGAAGGGAAGTAACCGACATGAAATAACCCCTCCCATTGACATTTGCAGCTTATAAAGGGATGGTTGAATTTTTAAATTTATTTTGGTATTTCTCGCCTCAAACCCTTATTATGGCAAAATAACTTCCAAGCTGGTCCAGCACATGGGAGCTGCTGGAAGGCTTGAAGGCATAGCCAGGTGCACGCATGCCCAGGCCAGATTACGGGTGCTTCTCAGGCTGTCTGCCCCCCCTGCCATTAGTGAGGCCCGGGAGGGCCGCCTCCAGCTCGTGGGCCTTCTTCCCAGCGGGTGTGCCCGTCCTGCGGGTGGGCATCACCTGGGAGAGGTTACACCAAAGAGGTGATGGAACTCCACGTTTCTTCAAGATTGAGCAGTTCACGCTTTCCTACTTTTCTGAACCTAGGGATCTAGTTATTATTAAGGAACTTTATCTTGTATTTTTGATTACGAGTGGGATAAAATCACTCAGGATTAGGAATAGAGCTGAGATGTGGGCCGGGGCTAACTGGGAGGAGCCAGACAGAGAGCATGGAAAACCAGGGGATCTCTAGCTGAGCCTCTGCAGACTGCACTGAACGTGTTTTTTGGTGGAGTGGCCAGAATAGGAGAATCTGGACAATAATTTTTAGGCTCTGCTTTCATGGGACATAGTTATAGGACATCACTTGATACTTGAGCCATTGCACTAGTGAACTAGGCAATTTGTCTCAATTTCAGACATGAATTTTCATTGCTCATTTACCCTTAGGCCATTCTCTTTCACTTTTCTCTTTTTCCATTAATAACTTCAAACATAACTACTTACACAATAATTTAAAATAATAACACACACATCTTAAATTATTTGGCTAAATGTGTCTTTGTTCGTTTCTAAAAGAAGCTAGTATGTGTTTTTCATGTGGCCATTTTATACAACCAGAAAAAAGTGGCCTGAAACAGAATTATTTGACTATTGGGAATTATTTTGTTATGCAGAACTGTTACAACTATGTCTTTAGTTAAAATTACTACCTTAAAAATGTGTTGAAAATATGCAAGGAGAATGTTAGATAAGACTCCACTTTGAACACATTGACCAAGTCATCCCCAGATCTACTCCTCTGACATTTTTAATAACGGAAAGGTGAAAAAATGGGTATTTATTTTGACATTGGGCTTGGATAAAGCAGAGAGAGGTGGGAACAAATGAGCTGCAGCTGAGACATGAGATGTATGTGTCCATTACTAATGTAACTCGTGTCATGTTATAAAATAGATCTCTATTTATAAAATAACTTTTGCAGATCAGATAATTCAGATTTAAGTGACACTTTTTTTTTTTAAATTTGGCAGTACTTAACCACAGTTATTCCCTATGAGAAAAAAAATGGACCACCATCTGTTGAAGATCTTCAGATATTAACAAAAAGTGAGTAAAGACCAAACTAAACTGTTATTTACCTTTTGCTAAATCAACTAAATACTGATTTTAGTTGGCTGGCTACATTGCTGTGGTTCTTGTTTGTTTTACTGATTTAGAGTCGTAAATGATGGATTCCATCCTTTATTCTTTTGAGAATGAAACTATAAATGGTTCTGACATCTAACATAACCCTAAATCTAGAGTTGATTTATGGGTTTTATTTTTTAAATCTATTTTCTGGCGTCTTAAAATATGTACAACTTGAACTTTTTGGGGAAAGTAACTTGATTCTCCATTACCTTTTGTATGTTTAAGAACATACCTGTTTATCAGTGAGGAACGTGCTTCGTGGATCTTATGTAAATATCACTCAGTAACCAAATAAGAAAGATTTAGAAGTACAGCTCCCTGCCCCCCTCTCTTATGAATACAGACACCTAGACTGCAGAAGAACAAGATTTATGGGCTTATCTGTACCTGTGTGGCCTAGGCATGTGTTTTTTAACCATCATAACAGTAGCTGTTTTTCCTATTTTGCCTTTGCTTCGAGACAAAATCCTGAATCCCGTTAGGATGAGGCTTGTTCACCAGGTTCCTCGGGAGAGGAGGCTTCAGCCTGGCTGCCTTGTGGTCTGGCCTTCACTTTGGCCTCCGCTTTAGAAGTTTCTAGAAGGCTGGCAGACACGCTCCTTGAGGACAGCTCACAGCTCAGTTACGTTCCTCCAGCCGTGGCCTCTGCAGCCCGGCGCCTGCGCTCCCAGTTCCCAGTCGGGCGCCTGATGGGAACCTGCCTCCAGCCTGTATGGCAGAGCTGGGCTCCGTGCGGATGGCCGTTTCTCTTCCCTCCTCCGCTGGTGGTGAAATCGGGGAAATGACTCCCAGGATGCTGGGATACCCTGACCTCAATTCCTGAGCATTTGCAGGTGTATTCCTTCATCTAGATTCTAGAAGATAATAATTTGCACGAACTGGTTCTATCATCATGAAGATTAAGGCCAACTGATAGACATTAAGTGATATTTTTATCTGAATTTAGAATTGTCGCCTTTTCCTTCTCTTTTGTTTCCTAGTTCTTCGTGCCATGAAAGAGGACAGTGAAAAGGTTCCGAGCTTGTTAACTGATTATATACTGAAAGGTGAGCTTCATCATGGCTTCTGTGCGTTGGTGAGTTGTAATTAGTCAGTAAACGCGCCGTCTTGCTAATAGAGTAAAAGTAACTTTCAAAAGCACAGCCTTCATTATGCTGGGTGAGGATACATGGCTGAATTATGCTGCCAACATTACAAATTGTGGTTACGTAACATTTACCTTTACTTGAGGTCCTGGGCTAGAAGTCATTTCCACGGCTAAATTATAAACATGGAGGCGGGGATGGGAGAAATAGTATGGAAATATTGCCATAATTAGGCGTAATTAGAGTGCCAGCTGTTGACCCTGGGAGGGTTTGCGAAGGTGGCCTCTGCCAGCTTGGGGACAGAGGAAGAGGACGGGATAGTGAGGTGCATGAAGGAGGGAGCCATCAGCTAACCGTTCCCAAGGACTGTGACGGATTGGAGTGGAGGACAGGGAGGGGGATTGGAGTGAAGGACAGGGAGGGGGATTGGAGTGGAGGACAGGGAGGGGGATTGGAGTGAAGGACAGGGAGGGGGATTGGAGTGGAGGACAGGGAGGGGTGCAGGGGAAAATGGAAGGAATGGACTTGCATGAACCCAGTGCAAAGTGAGCCATAAATCTGAGAAGCAAGACCACAGGATGGCATAGTGATGGGCAGGTGATTGCTGGAGGAGTTATGAGATCGCCTGCTTTGCTAGGGCAAGAGCGAGCTAGGGATGGTGAAGTGGGGACAGGAGAAGGCAGTTACAGGCAATGAAATGGCTTCTCAATGAAATGGCCTTTGGAAAAGGAGCAGTTACTCAGGTGACAGACTTTCAGAGCATCACAGAATGTGCTGTGGTGCTGGGTTCACTTTCAAGAGCACCCTCTTCTGGGAGCTTCTCTTTTGGGGCGTTAGCCGAGCTCAGGAAGGCTGGGCTTTCTGAGACGTTCGATAACCCAATGGGATGTGCCCTCCCTCCGAGCTCCATGGAGGGATCCCGTGGGAGAAGCCGGGAGCGCAGAGGGGGCAGCACGAGTGTCACTGTGAGAGATGGGCTGCCGGGAGCCAGCCAGCCGCTAGTTATCAGAGCGTAGTAAAGACATCGTTTTCCCCCCATAAGCTGGTTTTCGATGGCAGGCTTTTTCTTCTTACATTCTGAATGTTTTAAAAAAAATCTGACGTCTTTGCGTTCGTGTTGTGCTAGCATTGGTGTGAGAGCTGGCTGTGCTGTTTGTTCTGATAGATGTGGGACAGGCATGAGATGAACATGGAGACATGTCCTTTGTTAATTATCAATGTGGGCGCCGGGGCCTTGCCATGCGGGGCAGAGGGAGGAGCTTCTGAGGTGTCTCTGGCTACTCTATCCTCCGACCTCACGGAGGAATCGACGACCCCGAGAACAGTGCTCTGGGGGAAAGGATTTCTGCTTTCCCCTCTTATCACTCAGCCGAGCTGTGAGCCTGCACCCCTGCCTCAGGGAAGCAGCACTCCCCTCCCTCCCCCTGCCCGGCGCTGGCTCCTGAGCCCGGCTCTGCGCTGCTGAGCTGCCCTCAGGCACGCGGTGGTTCTGTCCTGGCAGGACCGGGTGGAAGTAAAGCCGGGGTGCAGATGGAAGTGGGGGTACTTGTCCAAGAGGATGAAGGGGCGTGGAATGCTCAGGTGTTCCAGTGCACGGGAAGGTGTGGTACCGGGAAGGTGTGGGTACCGGGAGGGTGTGGATAGGGGGAAGGTGTGGGTACCCGGAGGGTGTGGATAGGGGGAAGGTGTGGGTACCGGGAGGGTGTGGGTACCGGGAGGGTGTGGGCCGGGAGGGTGTGGGTACCGGGAGGGTGTGGGTACCGGGAGGGTGTGGGTACCGGGAGGGTGTGGGTACCGGGAGGGTGTGGATAGGGGGCGATTTCCATGCCGGTGTCCACCCACCCGGCACCCCGCCGCAGCTGGCGGCTCCTTCCTCTTGGACCAGCAGGACCCCAGTTTGCTTGCGAGGGGTGCTGCCCCTTTTCTTGGTGGAGGTTCTCATGTAGTTTAACTCCAGTGTCGGGGGCTCGGCTGCCTGAATTGAGGGAACTTAAATGCAGGGGAGAAATGCCAGGAGGCAGAGTGGCCTCACTGGCCCGAGGAAGAAGTGCGGGGGCTGTGGCCTCCGGGCGCGGTCCTCACCCAGTCTCCCCCCGCCTCAGCCAAAAGGGGTGCCGAAGGCTGGTAGGGCAGTTCCGGCTCCTGTGCTCACCCTGAAGCGGTGCACACGGGCACCTGTCAGGGCTCCCGGGAGGCAGTTTGCTTTGCTACAAGCCTTTGGTTCAGGCTCACAGGGTCTTCTCTCCCCGAGGGGGGCCTTGGAGATGCGGCGTGTGGTCTCACTTATGGGCAATTGCAATCAGTATCGTAAGAGAACTTTCATTGTTGGGTGTAGCCTTTCAGAACCCTTTTTAAAGTTGCTACTGTGGACCCCTGCATTGATTCTTAGTTCTCCTTACTGGTGTTTGTTATGTAGACGTAAATAGATGAATATACTGTGTACACAAAATGAAGTTTTCTCTCTCCCCCTAGTTCTGTGTCCTACATAGGGCAGCCGCTCTGCGGGAGCAGCCTCTCGCGGCCTGGAGCCAGATTTCACTCAGCATCCCCCGAGCGCCGGCCACCCTCCCTCCTGCTAGCGGAAGCTCGGCACACGTGAACTTGGGTTTGTGACGCAGTATTAATAGACCACGCCTTCACTGATTTTTTTGTATTACAAACCAAGAGAAACCTGGCACTATTTTGAATTCTAGGGATTTTTGTTGTTAACTATGAACAATTATGAATCCTTCTTCAACTTTGAGAGTCAGGGGGTGTAATATGAATTATGCATGTGCAGTTATATTTTTACTAACTGATCATATGCCCATTTGAGGCTTCATGGCTTCCTAGACGTAAACTACATTGAAGAACAAGTGAAAGCAGCGGTCGCCAACCAGTGGCCCGTGGCCGTCTGGTGGTCCGTGAGGTGGGAAAGGTGGGCTGGGTGAGAGCATTGAGAAATTTATGGCACAGCTGTTCCTCGGTGACGGCAGAAGCCACCACTGATTTTTGGAAGAGAACCGTCAGGATAAATGTCACCTACCGCTCTGGTCCAGGGACGGAAACTAAAAGTGGGCTGTTGTCAGGATGAAACAAGCATGTGTGTTGTCCTGTGTAATCCTCAGTGAGAACGGAACCGCTGGTGAGGACTGGTGTTGGAGGCTGCTGCAGGCTTCGCCACTGATCAAGTTTTAACCACTGAGTTGCCCTTTACTTTAGAATCTTGTGTTGTTTAACCTGAGATGTTTGAGTTTTGTTGTACGTGTCTGTGGAGAAGTGTCCTTCAGAGGGAGAGTGTGTATCCTGAAGGTGCTAAGAGACTCAGCTGCGGCTCTGCCCGTGCCCCACTGCTGTTCTGTCCTCATGCCCGTGCCCTTCCCCGAGTGCTGCTCATGGAGACCTCCCTGGCCATGAAGCACTCTGCCAGTCCCCATCAAGTCCGTGCCCTTCAATAAATGTTGAAAAAAAGATAATGTATGCTGGAGAGCTTCGTTTTTATTTTCAGCTTTTGGTGTTGTCGTTAACCGGTTGTCTTCCCTTGCAGCACTAGCTTCTTCCCCTTACTATGCACACACTGTCCATCACTGCGGGCCCGAGCTGGGAAACCCCAATCGCCTCCTGACGGTAAGGAGTGTTTGGGGAGGGGGGGCTTTTCTGGAATGATAGGAGCTCTGCTCTCTCTGTCTGTGCACGGGCGCTGAGGTAGCATGGTGCAGGAAGCGTGTGTGTAGCTGCTGACAGCCTGAAAGCAAAAGCACAGCTTGTCTTTCTAATCCCCAATGTGGAGTTACTTTGAAGGTACATGGTGCGACTGAAGATGAAAAATGTTTATTTGTGGCCAAGAACCAAAGTGCAAACCACCCCTTACCACTTTGGTTCTTGAAGAACTACAGTACACGCCAAGTGCCTGCCATAGATCTATTTTATTCTTCAGGAAATTATATTTGTTTTTCTTTTACAAGAGCACAACAGGAACCAAAGTAAAAGAGTAATAGATACAGCACTCAGGATAAATCATATCTTTAAAATAATAAGAAAATTTACACCTTGTCCTATATCCTGTTAGTATTTTCATAATATGGCCATGATTGAAAAAGCAAGCATTTACAATTTTTTTGATAAAGATTTTTTATGCCAGGAATGGATTAATTGTCAACAAAATTTTATAATAGGCTGATGTAAATCTTATTTTGGTAACATCATATCATTAACAAATTTTGGAAATAGATAAAAATATTGCCCCTTGATAATAAATCTTTTTCTTTCTTTGATGCAAACAGCTAGAACACCTTTTTCTTTTTTTGATATTCTAAGACAAAGAAAATGGTTAATCTTCAGATTAATAAATTAGGACATTATAATAATAAATTAATTTTTTTTTTAAAGTTCAGCAATCTCTGTCCAAGTATTTACAACAATACTTGAAAGTTCCTTTACAAAACAGAACACATTTTCTTTTCACATTAAGCATACTGGGTATCTGTGTCTTTCACAACAAGCATTTTTAAAAGAAAAAAAAAATGCACAAATGGGTAATTAGTATAAAAGTGCTAAGAGCTGTTTGAAAAAAGTTAACACTATATTATACAGTCAGTTATATTTGAGGCAAACTACAACAAACTTCCAGCTTATTATGGACAATATTCCAGTAGTTGTTTCAAACAGTTGTTTGAAGGAAGAAAAAAACCCCAAAAAATCCAGGAGCTGATTGGTGATGCACATAAACTACCATCAGTGTTTCTGGCCAGTGGAGTGAATTGAAAACCGACTGAAAGCAAATCCGAATGAGTTAGGAGGTTTACTCAAGGAAGACCTTCTCCCCGGCAGGTGTGACGTCACGGCGTGAACGTACACACCCACCTTTCTTCCCAATTAAACTGCAGGTAGAACAAGATTGCGTGTTATTCAAAAATTGGTAAGTGATCAAAAAAGTATTGATATGGAATGCCTGTTTGTCTTTGTTCTGGTTAAAAATCTCATAAAAATACATTCAACAGGAAAACATAAACTGTATGTGTATAAATATATAGGTATGTATATATTATATACACACGCACACAAATACTTTTTTTTTTGAAGCAAAAGATAGTTACATAAATATTCCTATAATTGCTAAAGTTTAAAGAGGCATATTTTTTTTTTGAGCTTCAACAAAGGTGCTTGAATAATATACAATTAAAATGAAGTAGTTTTCTATTTTGTAGAATCAGTATATAATAAGGAAAAAAAAAAATCCCCAATCAGTCTTTTTAAAAAGAAAAGTTTCTTAAGCTAGAGCTTCAACAACAACAAAAAAAAACTGAACAACCAACAACCGAACGGAACGAAGCAACAGCAAACGACGCGGAGCCGTGGGCACAGCTGGCGCCCTCCCCACCTCGGTGCCACGCGGGCAGCTCGGTGCTCGTGCCAAGAAGAGACTTTGGGTCCTGCTTACCTGCCGACTCTGCTAGCAACTGGCTGATTGGCTTGGAAGAGAACGAAAGCAGCAAAAAGTCTAACTGTAGATATCCTTAACAACCCGCTTCGGAGAAATGTGGTCCTCACCTTTCTCTCGCTTCCTCGCTGCCCACCGCAGCCGTGACCGGAGGGAAGGGACTGTGGCTTCAGACCTGGGATGGCTATCGGAAGTTCTCTGTGCCGCTAAGGTGGCCTCGAGGTCACGAGGCCTTTGGCTTCCTGCTCGCTCGGGCCCGAGTGCTGCAACCCTGCAGGCTCCATAGCAACAGGAAGAGCATCCTCCTGGCCCCGACCTGCCGCTGCTGCCCGGGACTGCCCGGGCCACGCTGACCAACGTCTTCCCAGCACCACCCTCCCCCCACATCCCCACCGAACTCCACCGTCCCCACCCCCAAATATCTCTACCGCTATATTACAAGCAAATGTGTCTTAGCGACTTGGAAAACTTTGGTTCTAAGAAAACGCTTGGTCAGTCACCTCGAGGAAACGGAATGCTTGTGCTGCACCTGCCGCCGACAGCCCATCCCAGTCCGTTCTCAGCCTGTACATCAAGTCACCGTCCGACACCACCCGCTAAGCAAGTGCACGAATTCTAGTTTACTTCTAAGAGCAGATCGAGTCGCTTCCGGCTTCTACCACCTCATCCGGCTGGCCTCCCTCACACCGTCTGGTAGAACTTGTCCGCCTGGAGGTGGCTCTGCTTCTGCATGCTGTAGAAGCCGCTGAACCGGGCGTCCGGCTCGGCGATCCTGAGCATCCTCTGGGCACCGTCCCCAGGGGCGCGGGCTCCTTTCCTGCAGTCCACAGACACCAGCTGGTTGCTTAGGGAAGAGGGCTGTGTAGCGACGGGAGGAAAAAGCACAGGGAATTAGCTGCTTTACGAATCCCAAGTTAACACACAAACGTAGTCCCTAACTCAAGTGGGATAACAGTCTCACAGTAAGTACCTACGCTGATGGATGGGTGGAGCTTACATCTGTTCTGGTGCGGGCGGCCGCTTCATGAGGACACTGTCTTTGCAGGTGAAACATCAATAACTTTTGCCAAATGGAGTGGACGAAGGAATTGCGAGGGCGGGGGGCGGTGTGTGTGGCGAAATTGGTGAGTGACATGACTATTTTCAAATCCTTGAAAGCAGGCTAAGTACTTAAGAGGGTTGGAGAATGAGTGGAAGTTCCGACAGGCAGAGAATTTGGAAGCGCTCAGGCTGTAAACGGCCTGTGTCCTGACACAGCATGCGCCTAGCACACAGGCTGCGCCCAGTGGATTTTTGCCTAAAGAAAATCGCAGGCAGGATAACCATCTAATAGACTTAATTGGGAGGCGTTATCTAGATGGTAAGGTGGGTAAAAAGAATTTAAAGCGTCCTTAAATAATTATAAGATGGTCTGATTTTTCTTCTTAGGGAAAAACTAGATGTAACAGGTAGAATTAAGGTTGGAAAGCATCACAATATATTTCCTTTAACGAAAACCAATTGTCTTGCCTTTTAAAATAGGCAGATCTGACAATAGATATAGGGTGTGCCCCCAAAACGTATATACACACACTTTGAATAATTATGAAGGCAGGGTTTACTAAAATACATTTCATTTTCAAAACTGAGCTTTTGGCTGTTAACGTGTATTCATTTCTTGGGGACAGTTTGTATACTCTTTCTCCCTCAATATAAAATCTGTCTCACTCCCTTCCCTTCTCTGCTCGCCTTGGACACATCTCTCTGACCTCTGACTTCTGTCCCAAAATCGCTAGCTCTCTTCCCACCTCTCCTCTACATCCCCTCCCTGGATGATTTCTCTTCCATTTCTAAGTTGACAGATCACTGAGAAACACCAGGTGACCAGCTTTTAATTCCTTATTTAAGGACTTAGGAATCAATCCAGGAAGTTGGGCCAGTCCCAGACACCTGATTGCTACAGCTTGATGTGTACGTGTGGCTACAAGAGCAAAGTAAGAATGTGGCTGGCTAATATAAAACACGTCCAACAATTCAAGGAAGCAGTAAGCCTGCAAGCTTCCCTAGTCTGCCCCCGAGAGGCTGGGACGTGTGCAGGACCATACCTTCGTTGGCGTCCGGTACCAGCACAGCAGGGGGACCCACTGTTTCTTCTGGTTGATGAGCAGGAACGCGATGATGATGGAGAGACCGATCACCACGGGAACCACGACCGCGGCGATGCTGTCCAGCGAGGACTCCTCCGCCGCCGGGTGCCGCCTGTTGTTGTCGCCGTAATCGACCTTGAGGTGACCCACGTCTAAGGAAAAGAAGAGGATTGTAAGATTTATTACACCAGAATTTTACAGCATTTTAACCCTTTGCACTCCCGAGCCATTCTGGACATTGGCTACCAGCTACTCGACGCTACTTTGCGGCGGACACGTGCGTTGAAAACTCAATTCCCCGTAATCACTATTAAACTGCGATGTCCCCTGAGAGGGGACAGCGGAGTGCAAAGGGTTAATTACATTGCACACAGAAATCCAACATGATTAAGGTCGAGTGTTGATCCGCAGAGCTCTCAGGGATGGAGGTAAAACGTATTCGGGTGAGGAGGTTAATAACTGGGCGTGATGATGCTCGTTCTAGGTAGTCAAGAAAATTAAAAGTGGCAAAAACTCAACTACTGAAAATATTTTAATATTAACTCGTTGGCTTCTAACATTTAAAGGAAAAATATTAGCCCAGCTCTGTTTTCTTGCAAGTAAGAGATTAGATAATGCATATTCTTGGACTTGCTAGGGAAACAGCTAAGACTAGTTACTAGAGTAATAGTAAAAATTAAGCTAGAACCAAGAGCTGGTGTTTTGGTCAATGTTCTGGTTTGCTGAGCTCTGAGCAAGAATGCCTTTTCATGCATTTGTTGAAAAGTCACCCGGCCGATTAGATCGTTTCCCTGTCTTGTTAATGTGCTGCCCAGGGGACAACCACTACTTCTGCTTATCCGCCTGAGAGTCTGCCTGCTCCTTTTAACCATCCCCGCAGTGAATACCGCAGCCAGAGGTGACAGGTTAAACACACACAGTCAGGAATACATGCTGGACGTTTCCAATAAACCACTGCAGTCAGTTTGTCTAAATGCATCAAAGACCAGGTTAGAGCAAAACGCAGGAAACAATCAGGAGTTGCCCCTAAAATGTTCTGGAAACTCAGCTCGCGAAGTAGCACATTTTTGTGAAGTCAGGGTGTACAGTTTAAACGTCAGTTTTAGGAACATGCTTCTTTGTGTACGTGGGTGTTAGGAAGAGAACTTTCCTAATCATGTTAGCCAGTGTAGGGAGAAAAAATAAAGCCAAAGGTAAAAGTAACAACGAATTCATGTTTTAAAGACACAGTGAGTGAAAGGAATGGATTTTTGGCTTACCACATTTCAAATGATATTAGAAATGGTTTTAGGAATATCTGTCACAAGATTTTTAATAAAAAGTAAACTAAGCAAAACCTCGGCAAAAGGAGTATGAAACTTCAACTAGGATCTGTTTACAAAATTCAATTTTTTTTTAAAATATGTATTTTATTGATTTTTTACAGAGAGGAAGGGAGAGAGATAGAGAGCTAGAAATGTCGAGAGAGAAACATCAACCAGTTGCCTCTTGCACACCCCCTACCGGGGATGTGCCCGCAACCAAGGTACATGCCCTTGACCGGAATCGAACCCGGGACCTTTCAGTCCGCAGACCAACGCTCTACCACTGAGCCAAACCGGTTTCGGCCAAAATTCAATTCTTAAGTTCTGTTTGGATGTAAGCAGCAGGCCATAAATTTAGCTTTGAGCCTTCCTAGCAGCCAGAGCAAAATGGAAATAAAGTATAGTCATTAAGATTCATAGTATCTTTAAGATTCAAACCAATCTGTTGCTTACGAGAAGCATAAGATTCCCTGCTACTGACACGTGAGAAAATTCCCATGTACTGCATAGACCCTCAACATATTATAGTGCATAAGGCTGTTCTTATGACCAAGCCTAAGCACTAGTATCTACCGATTGAATGAGTACAAACATAACGCTAAAGCACCTCTCAGAGCAATTTCACCAGGAGCCAATCACTGTGTCCGGGAGGCTGGTCATCTGGCTTCATCTCAGCATCACTTAGAATATCTACGAGTAGAGTAACAGATACTGCTGCTTCCAACACCTGTCATAAAAATTGCATAGCAAGGATTTTGAAAATGTCCTACTGAGTCATAGCTAAGAGCAAGTATATACTATTGGATCCAGG